AATAGCGTACTGGGTTCTACCGTCAAAAGATCGCGCGTGTTCTCATTTTAAATGTAACTCCTTTCAAGTCGCTGGGAGAGTGTTATGTATATCGTATTCAAAGTGAACAAGCTGCTTCATACGGCCACGGCTGAACCCAGGACACGCTGTCACTGTTCCTCGCGGCGGACGAGCGCGAGTCCACGCCCTCCTCCTCCTCATCTGCGCCGCCCGCCGGCTGTGGGCGCGGTACACCACGCGACGGCACCGCGGCACCCGCCCTTCCTGCCGGGCTGGCAGGCCGGCGACGCCACGCAGGGTCAGCAGCTTAGAGCGCTGTTCAGCTCCGATGAGACAAAGACGGGCCCGCGTCCTCGTGGACAAACTCAGAGCCGTTCCCAGTGCGCCGGACGTGCATGCAGCGCAATGGAGAATCACTGAGCGCGCGGTGATGATGATTGGGGCTTTACGGCGTGCCGACTACCGTGGGATTGTGCGTCCGAGCGCAGCATCATCTGTGACGGCGCGGCGACTCCGCGGCGGTGGCGACGTAGTGGCGACGGCAGGCGGGAGGCCATCGCCCAACCGAGAGGAGACGAGCCGACAGCACCCTCCACCCACCGAAGGCAAAGCAAAACCTGAGATGGCGCATGACGAACGGGGCACCTGCATGTAGAAGGCAGGTGTCCCGGGACACCTGCCTTCTACAGCGAACGGAGTTCCGCGAGAACATTCAGACCCAGTTCGAGCGACTCAACATCACGTCCTCGCATTTGGAGGAGCGTGTCGAGGCCACAGACATCACGGCTGACAATCTGCAAGATGCCAGAGAAGAGACCGCCCTCCCTTACGACCCAACTGAGCTCGCCGGGATGGACTGATGCCATGGAACTGTCAGAGCAGCGGCCGCGGCACTCCGCTCGACTGCAGCCCGGCCTGCCCGGATGACGCCCTAGCGCCGCGCCGCTCGGCTCGAATGCGGCCCGCCCCTGCCCGGGTGACGCCCTAGCGCCGCGCCGCTCGGCTCGACTGCAGCCCGGCCTGCCCGGGTGACGCCCTGGCGCCGCGCCGCTCGGCTCGACTGCAGCCCGGCCTGCCCGGGTGACGCCCTGGCGCCGCGCCGCTCGGCTCGACTGCGGCCCGCCCCTGCCCGGGTGACGCCCTAGCGCCGCGGCACTCCGCTCAACTGCGGCCCGCCCCTGCCCGGGTGACGCCCTAGCGCCGCGCCGCTCGGCTCGACTGCAGCCCGGCCTGCCCGGGTGACGCCCTGGCGCCGCGCCGCTCGGCTCGACTGCAGCCCGGCCTGCCCGGGTGACGCCCTGGCGCCGCGCCGCTCGGCTCGACTGCGGCCCGCCCCTGCCCGGGTGACGCCCCTAGCGCCGCGGCACTCCGCTCAACTGCGGCCCGCCCCTGCCCGGGTGACGCCCTAGCGCCGCGCCGCTCGGCTCGACTGCAGCCCGGCCTGCCCGGGTGACGCCCTGGCGCCGCGCCGCTCGGCTCGACTGCGGCCCGCCCCTGCCCGGGTGACGCCCTAGCGCCGCGCCGCTCGGCTTGACCGCGGCCCGCCCCTGCCCGGGTGACGCCCTAGCGCCGCGCCGCTCGGCTGCGCCGCCCCTGCCAGCGGCACTGGGCGCGCCGCCCAGCACAGCACGCGCGGCGCCAGCAGCGGATATCCGGGGGACGTTGGCACGCTGGCGATCCACGCACTGCCTCGCCGCCCTCCGGGTATATGCGTGGCTGAAAGCAACACATGGGCCGCGTCGCTGGCGACCGGGACCGAACGGTGGTGTCGCCGCCTGGTGGACGAGATCCGAGACAGCCCGAGTCCGCCATCAGATGGTGCGCAGCAGGCTGGAGCTATGCGGCAAGGAACACCTCTTCAGCAGTGAGTCTCATGCTGTTGAGTGGCAGAATACGGTGACGTTCAAACACGGCCAAAGAGCGAACTAAACCGTTAATCTTTTTCATATTTAATCCGAGCTTTTTTGCATGTATGGACTTCTGTGATCAGATCTCGCGCTCAGCTGCTTGCTATGTGAGCGCTGACTCTACCATCAGACCATGCGATTGCAGGTCAACGACAGAATCTGGTGCAAACGTACAACGAGCCACAATGCTCAGCGTGGTCCGACCTTCCCTCTGACGTCACCTGATCTTGAGTGCGGCCGCTGCCGCCGGAAGCAGACCATATTTGTCAGTGACAAATAGCGAGCGCCTAAAGCGACTCGAACTCACCTCGCCACGGGTGGGTGGATCGGAAAGCATGCGCTCTAAGCCAACTGAGCTATGGGGACGGACGGACGCACTTTCCACGCCACGCGAGCCTGCCTTCCCACCTTTCATACAATACGCAGTCTGCCCACACCACTCACAGCCTGGGTAGGCCTTCAAATCCGAACAGTACGTCGCTGTGCATGGGTGGACCTACCCGACCAGTGCAGACAGCTCGGGTGTTCCGTCATCGCACAAGAAACGTGCAGGTGACCCCGGTGTAAGGGCTTTCGTGCCGTGCTTTCTGTGGGTTCGCCGTGCCTTGGTGTTTGCTGACGGCCATTGCTCCCTGCATTCACAAAATCATTGCAAAATGGCGCATGACCAAACCGTACTCCGGCCCAATAACACGCATGTGCTGCTCCCATCTCATCCCCTGGGCCCGCCTGCACCCTCTCACATACCTCGGGAGGCCGGAGTTGACCTAAGACACGGTCCCCACCTCGGCCCTGGTGCGGCCGCGCCGCTCCAGCCAGACAGGGTCACACGGGGAGACCTGAGCTGACCTGACACGCGGTCGCGACCCCGGCCTTGGTACAGCCGCGCCGCTCCAGCCGGACAGGGTCACACCGGGAGACCTGAGTTGACCTGACGCGCGGTCCCTACCCCGGCCTTGGTACAGCTGCGCGGCTCCAGCCGGACAGGGCCACATCGGGAGACCTGAGTTGACTTGACGCGCGGTCCCGACCCCGGCCTTGGTACAGCCGCGCCGCTCCAGCCTGCCAGGGCCGCATCGGGAGACCTGAGTTGACCTGACACGCGGTCCCGACCCCGGCCTTGGTACAGCCGCGCCGCTCCAGCCAGACAGGGCCGCATCGGGAGGCCTGAGCTGACCTGACGCGCGGTCTCTACCCCGGCCTTGGTACAGCCGCGCCGCTCCAGCCAGACAGGGTCACACCGGGAGACCTGAGTTGACCTGACGCGCGGTCCCTACCCCGGCCTTGGTACAGCTGCGCGGCTCCAGCCGGACAGGGCCACATCGGGAGACCTGAGTTGACCTGACGCGCGGTCCCGACCCCGGCCTTGGTACAGCCGCGCGGCCCCAGCCAGACAGGGCCACATCGGGAGACCTGAGTTGACTGACCTGACGAAATTTCGCGATTTTTTATGCATGTTTCCTGACGACGTACCGCCAATTCCATCCATACCGAGTAACCAGCATCCGTTTAACATCCATGGGTTCTGGTCAACGGTAGGATGGGCACCTCCGCCACGCCCCGTCCGCTCCCATTCAAAACAACTTTTGTGCGGCGGATCTGCTTCTGGTGTGCAAATGTCGGGTGAGAGAAGATTCAACTAGCTCGGCAGCTTTCCCGCGCATCTTCATGTGTTTCCTGGCCCACACAAATTTTCCGCTCAGAACGCCCTTGGCCTCAGTCCTCTACCGTCAGCCTGTACTGGTAGCCCAATTTCGTGAGGAAAAAAAACTACTACGCTGAACCTTTGCAGTGCATTTCACGAAATCCCATCGATAAGCCTTGATAATTTCATAATGCAAGCCTGCATATCACCGAGGGATGTCACGGAACTTCATCCTCGAGCTTGCAACAGACCATCTACGGTGTCAGATACATTACGAGTTATAAGACAATTTCCCACATACTGAAAGAATGGCGAAAATAATGGTTCTCGGCACGTGACGTGTCGCCCATTTGGGGCCGTGGCGCCATGAGCTATGGTAGCCTCACGCCGCCTAGCATGTGGTCGGCGCACAGTGAGTGATCGGGCGGCCCGAGACGCTGGGACGCTCCGAAGGCGTGCCTACATGTCCACCAGTCGCGCCCGAGGCGTCGAGCAATAAGGAGGAACCCGTCCATATGCGTCCATTTCTGCGGTGTGCTTCCCCGAACTAGCTGTGACAACTGCAACATGGTGCAAGTGACAGGTTCGATGGCCATGAACACGGACGTCTTCGCCCAGACCTTCTCCTGCCTGATGGACGCGCTGCATGACCACGTCAAGGCCTCAGCGCAACAGGGAGGAGCGGCTACCGGCGCTGGCTGAATCAGCCAGCCAGGCCGGATAAAACCCGGACGACCGACTCCGACCGACCGACTCGACCGATGCTGGCCACACGGACACCCCCGCTGCTAGCCCCGGTCTAGCAGCCCCGAGCGGCACGAGACGGCCGGGTGCGACGGCGACACCCGTCCCCAGGCTGATGGAGGGTGCCAGCCGGCGTGAGTTTGCGTCATGGCGAGTCAAGTTTGAGGGATATGCCATCCTCATCAGTCTGTACGGCCTCCGGCCGGCGGGCCAAAACGCCGCACTCGTCGCTCTGGTAGACGACCAGTAGACGCGATCACTCCGCCTTGGCCTGGATGTCCGTGAGAACTGCGACAGTTCTGAAAGCGGTTACCTCCGGGTCGCCCTGAGGTCATTTTACATATATTCAGCGCTATTGTAACGCAATTCCTCAGTGAGCAAGACAGTGGGCGCACCACAACATCCAGCTCCCAAAGAAACGAACAACAGCATCGAGCATGCGTGTGCTCGTTCTTAAAACGTAGTTATGGAAGGTTAACACCGGGGCGTCCGACCGCAGCACGCGGCGGTCGCGGTTCCCGCCCTCCGCACGCAGCCGGACGGGCCCGACATCCGCCTCGGCACCAGACGTAAACAGGCTGTTAGCCAAGCCTCTGTTTGCGGTAGAAGTGGAACAACGTGGGCGTTGGAGAAAGGAAGTTATTGGTGTTTAGGGAGCGCGCTGAGTGATCAGGCCATTCTGCGCCCACAACGATGTGCTTACGTCCTTCGCGAGGTGGGTACATCACATTAAACTCAACGTCTGCTAGAAACGAGAACGGCTGTTTTGATTCCAGAAAGCCGCAACTGTCACCCAGGGCGTCCAACACGGAGCAGGACATCCAAAGCGTCGTATCCAGTCCCTTGCAAACTGAGGACAAGCGGAGAGCACGTGATTTACTATGAGGTAAGCGCCCATCCACGCAGAGGCCTCCTTGCAGAGCGCAACAGGGACCGTGAGGCGCATGTGAAATGTCACCACGCATCTGCAAGAAATCACGTCTTCCCTTCTTCCTTTGCAGCAGAAAGATGGCCACAGACCCATCTCAGGTTGCGTGGCCTTGTGTTTATTGCTCGCCGGATCATCACAGTAGCACTGCCATGTGCTGTGCAGGAATGTTCTGATTGCTGGGTAAATGTCTCTGGCAGGGATTGGTAAAGGCCGTGTCCATGGTGTCTGTGCTGCTCGCCTCCCAGCAGCGTCAGCCAGATATTTTCCAGCGATTCAGACTTGCTGGAACACCGCAAAGGACAATTAACCCTCTTCCCAGCCCTATCCAGTGCTCCACAAGCGGATTTCCTTCCGCTTGGTGACATTGTAGATGCTCCTGTGCCAACTTGAGCTCTTCCTCCTTGTGGTGATGCGTCAGCTGGTTTGCCACCCGCCTTGAGGCAAGATTGGTCGTCTTCAGGTGATGACGAATGAAACGGACCGTTTTGCTGTTTTCGCTTTTCGCTCGCGGTGGACTGTTTTCGTGGACTTGTTCGCCATACCAAGACTCTGAGTCATCTGGCCGATTGCCATACGACGATCCTCCATCACCACAGCTTCCACCTCGGTCACGTGGGAGGGGTCAGTCTGCGCCGCGGGTCTCTCGGAGCGTTAGGAGCCTCGCGCACTGACCCTGCCCGCCCCGAGCTTCTGCACCCACCTGCTTTGACTCGGCACAGGCGTTACCTCCATTATCACAGCCTCCACCTCGGTGAGGTGGGAGGGGTCAGTCTGCGCTGCGGGTCTCTCGGAGCGTTAGGGGCCTCGCGCACTGACCCCGCCCGCCTCGAGCTTCTGCACCCACCTGCTTTGACTCAGCACAGGTGTCACCGCCATAATTCGAAGCGTCCCACATGCAAACCAGTGTCGAAATGAAAACCAAATTGTGGGCAGTTTGACAAAAATACCTCCGAAATACAGCTGTATCTCTCAGACGAGGCTAGGCACAGCGCTGAGATCTTCTATGTGCCCAGAGAACACGTTCAACCTATGGTCATTTAAATTGCTTCCATACTGTTTTTAAAGTATTCCGCTGTACTATAACCGGAAGAAAAATTGTCGCACAGAATCATACGAAGTACTACAACTTACTTCTGGAATGCACCTTGCACAAGGAAATGCCCCTGCCTGGATACAGCTTACCGTTAGCCACACATAAGAAATGTTTGGTCACCTGGAGCATTGCTTAAATTGTATCTTCCCCTACACACATTTTGTCAACAGCATATCATTCCTACTAATGTACAACGGAGGCCAGTGTACTGATCTGGGCGGCCAGCCAGCGTCCCGCCAGGCCACTGCATGATGGCCGGGCTCACTCCGCGGCAGTTAACCCGCTCGGCCACGCCACCAACTCCGGCGCTGCCGCACAGGTCAACAGCATTTGGTATTTGACTGTCGCCGTGCTCTCGCACAGCTACCGGTGCGTGGCGACATCTATCGGCCGCGCAGTGAACTATGGTCGATGCCCTTCGCAGTCCGCCCTCCACGCCGCCCGTGCCGCGAATGGGGTGCGGCAAACGCGAGCTGCCGGAACCGTACAGTCTCGAAACGTCACTGCGACGAGGCAGACCATGTGTGGAAGTAGAACCGTTACAGTTTCAGTGCTAATTAGCGGGTTCGATCGCTGTACGAGAGCTTATTGGGGTTGTCAGAACGGTCAGGTCTGCACCACGCACACAAAGCTCACACGCTGACGCTGCGCCACGGCTATGTTACCAGTCCGCACTGACAGGACATGAGGCACAAAAACAACGTTCCTGCATCCGATGCGCGGAATGAGAAGGGGGCATGCGAAATGCACGTTCGCCACCCGGCTCATTCCAGCAGGTTGAGTATGGACGAGCCGCAGTACGCGTCTCTCCGCCGACGGCATGTCACCAGCGGCCCGCACGCAGACAAAGCGGGCCGGTTCCAGTGTCAGAGACTGTACTCTGAGTGGTGCAAGAACAGGTCCGCCGAGGTGGCGTTTGGAGCGGCACGCGGGAGTGCGGGGAGGCGCGCTCGCAGCAGCGCTATCCGTACTTTGTGCACATTGGGCTCGTTCCCCGTCACAAGCGGGAACAGTGTCATTGACAAGGATAGTCAGCGGCACATCGTCAGGGGCAGTGCCTCCCAAATACAGACAAGATGGCTGGCAGCTATGGGGTATACGATTTGAGGTAAGTGGGGTCCGGGTCCCAATTCCCACTGCCAAACGCTGTCCCCGAGTTAGACCGATGACGTCACAGGTTACGGCGTCACTGCAGTTCCTACAGCCTACAGTTAGCGCCTACGATGCAGCCACGCTTGCGTGGCGTCAGGAGTTGCGTCAGGGTACCTTTCCTACTGTGGGCCCGGGAAAGTTGCTTTATTTTAGTTCGCCGCCAGCGAGCGGCAGCAATCCCACAATCCGACTCTTTGGCCCGCCCGCCGGCGACGCGCTTGTTTTGTTCTCTGGACTGACCGGCATCGTCGTGGCCAGGTCAACAAAGGACTGCCTCCATGGGTACAGGGGTTGCGGGTATTGTACCACCTTACCGCTTCAATGAACCCGCGCGAAGTGGCTGCAGAAAAGGATATAGACCATCTTGTTCGAGCAACCTTTGCTCACACTCACACTAAAACAAAATGTTAAGACTAAGAACGTGAAAATGCTAAGGCCACTAATGCAGCTTGCTAGCACAAATCTTGAGCCAGAAGGGCATTCTCGCTGTTCGTACGTGCTTGCCGATTTTGTTTGAGTTTCAGCATTTTGTTGCAAAAAACGTAGCCTGCCGTATAAACAAACCGTACTGCTCATGTCTGCACTTCTGAGATTTTCTTTTTCATCAAATACCTGCGACAGCAGCGGAAGATGGTAAAACCGCCCGCGCCATCCCCTTCTTAACTCTCTCGCGAGCCGGATGGGAGACCAGAGGTGGGCAGGATAGTCTGTGGCTGCGTGCGTTTCTTCAGTCTCAAAAGCGGGATCAGTGGCCATCGGTGTTGCTGCCGTCAACGAACTGGAGCCATCAGCAGTTTGCCTCTCTCCTGTCACCGGAATGGAGTCGGAGACCATCTATGTCACCCAATGAGCAGAGCAGAATCTGCGGTCGTCTGCGTCTCCTCCATCACCATGTATAGGCTGCGGCCGTCTGCGTCTTTTCTATCAGCAGAACAGTGTCCGGTATGGGTCTCTTCCACCAGCAGAACAGCGTCGGTGCCTCTGCGTCTCTCCGGTCAGCAGGACATTCAGCGGGAGGCGGGGTCTCAGCCGAGCTCACAGAGGAGCCGTCCCAAGGTCGTCAACCGCGCCTGCCCGGCGCACTGTAAACAGACCGGCTGGCCGGTAGCGCACATGGCGGGGGGGGGGGGGGAGCTCACCGGAAGGGCGGGGACGACCACTCAGCGACGCAACCGACATGGTGCGTACGGGAACAGCTGTCCCAGCGCGTGATGGTCTGGTGGCGGTAGTTGAAAGTGAATGCTCTGCATTTCAGGATATTGAAGCAACCTTCAGATGTGATAAAATGAGCTCACTTATAACTATTGGTATACCTTTAAGTGGAAAACTGCTCTAGACAACACAGTTTTTTCTACTTGATTAATATGCTCAATGTGCTACAGTTTGATTGCGTCATGGAACGTCTGTATGACCGCACTCACCTGTAGTTCTTCCACCTTTCGAGAGGTGAACCATGGCGGTGCAAGATGTGTGCTGAATCAAATATCGCTGGCTGCTCGTGCTTTGGCCTTTTCTCGTGGTGCTCTTGCATATTATCTATCCGTGATTTTAAGGTGTATACTTGTATTCACATATTCGGTTACAACGCTATTTTTAAGTTATTCGATCACAGGTCTTATTTCTGTAATAACTAGGACGAATGTATTTCTTGCGTTATGTCGCACAAAACGTAATTCGTGTCAGAGCATCCGACCCCTTTATCCTTTTCCTTGCTTTCCCCTGAATCCCTGCGACGCCCCGCTTGTCCGGGGCAGGCTGCATGCGTTATCCATGGGTAGGCCGAGAAAATAGCGTTGATGTGACGTCATAGATGTCTTCGGAAACTTTGAAAAAGTCCGCCCCAAAATAATTTGCACATTTTCGTGAGCGTGTAGCCCGAAGGATTTTGAGTTTCAAGAAGCGCAGGGCTTTGAATTGCACCGATGATCTTCCGGGTGGCTATTTCAGTTCAAATCCCCATCCAAGTGCGGAACACTCCCTTTAAAAAAAACTGCCTCAGAGAGGAACGGAAGATCTGACGCACTGAGAACATATATGGTTGCGAAATTTTCCTCCTTGTTTTTGGCTTGAATGGAATATATTCTCACCTGCTGCTAAACTCCACATGCCATGTTCTGATATTCATTTCGCAGCCTGCATAAAATGCTGTGGGTTGGCCACCTCAGGCTCACATATACTGTACAACTCATTCCACAGGGCTGGATGGATTGGGATTGGTAGGCCTATAAGAAGACTGTTGGCGGACCCAGTCTCCGTAAGGGGATAAGAGGTACAAGAAAAGTTGACTAAGATATGTACGAATGTTGAGCAATAAGACTTTCCTGATGCTGTTGTTTTCGAGAGCGTTTTCTTGTTACGCTGCATTAATCGCGCAAAATTTGGGCCTAGCGCGGGTACAGTGGAAGGTGAGCAGCTTTTAGCTGTACGTTCAATGCGGTGTAGCTTTTGCTGATAACGTTTCAGCTGAAAACAAGGCGTAAGAATGCTAATTATTCGAGCGCTCGGGAAAAAGTTGGGATCCAACAATCGTTTCGTGATCCATCAGAATTTGCCATTTGTTCTAAGAAAACCAAAAGTAAAACGTTTAAGTCAGCGCCCCGTCACGAGGATTTTCGCTAAGACAGCTGATTTTTGCGAGTTCTGAAAATATGCGGCGGAGCAGCACTTAATGGAAAATGCAATCAACTACACCCATCCCATCAACTGGCACAATGGGTGCTCTCTTGGACGACGTGATGGTAAAGACAAATGTTGACCATACATGCTTCACATATCCTTTTCGTTTAAAGGGGGTGTTCCATATTTGTATGGGGGTTCGAAATGAAGTAGCCATTTTGAAGATAATTCCATGCAGCTTGTAGCCCCGTCCTCTTAGACCTAAAACCTCCTGGTTTCTGAGTTACACGCCCGCGAAAATGTGCGGGCTGTCCCGAGGTTACCCAGGCACCCACGACGCCGTAATGACGCAGTTCGAATCCTGCCGTTCTACCAGCAATGCGGCGTCCAAGGCTGAGCAAAACATTAATGTCGGGCTCGGCCCACCTGTGGATGACGCATACAACCTGCCCCGAATAAGCAGGGCGTCACGAGGATTCAGGATAAAGCAAGGAAGAGGATAAGAGGTTCGGGTGCTCTGACACCAATTACGCTTTGTGCTTTATAATACAAGAAGTTATGCATTCTTTCTAGTTATTAGAAAACAAGACTTCCAATCGAGCAACTTAAGAATAGCGTAAACTGGGTGCGTGAGTACAATTTAACACCTTAGCCAGGGATAAATCAGTAAGCACACCATGAGAAAGGGGCAAAAAGTAAGCTTATAACGCTATGTGGCTCGGCGAAAACTTCAACCCCGTCTTGCCATCTCGCGGGAGATTGAAGAATTACCAATTAGTGTTGTCATACAAACGTTCCATGACGCAATCAGACTTTGACGCATTTGGGAGCACATATACTACATAGGGAAATGTTTTTGCCTAGATCAGTCTTTCCACCTGAAAGGATATCAAGAGTTTTAATTGGGCTTATTCCATCATATCTGATGCTTCCTTCAATATCTTCAGATGCGGAACCCTTCCTTAATAAAATTGGCCTTGAGACTTGTGATCTTGTGACAAAGGTTTACCCCCCCCCCCCCTCCCCGGAACATAAATGAAAATGCCAGATGGGCGTGTTTCATGGCGTCACCAGATGTTCTGAACTATTGTTCGGACTTCCTCCATCTACATCTCCATCTTCATGTCAACCTCCGTCTTTCCATTCCTCGCTCCCGCTCCCTGAATATCATCCCCATCTGTTACTATCTCCCCCTCTCCCCATTCGTTTCCATCCGACTACCTCTCACTACTCCCACTCTTCAACTCCCAAAACATGTGAACAGAGCGTGCTGGCCACGCTCGCCGGCGGTCCATCACGGCGACCGAGCCCTCACGGACCCCCCAGCCCACGGACTGAGCCCTCAGCTGTCCCTCAGCCCACCGACCGAGTCCCCACCGGCCCCCCAGCCCACGGACTGAGCCCTCAGCTGTCCCTCAGCCCACCGACCGAGTCCCCACCGACCCCTCAGCCCACGAACCGAGCCCTCAGCTGTCCCTCAGCTCACCGACCGAGCTTTCGGCGGCCCCTCAGCCCACCGACCGAGCTTTCGGCGGCCCCTCAGCCCACCGACCGAGCTTTCGGCGGCCCCTCAGCTCACCGACCGAGCTTTCGGCGGCCCCTCAGCTCACCGACCGAGCTTTCGGCGGCCCCTCAGCCCACCGACCGAGCTTTCGGCGGCCCCTCAGCTCACCGACCGAGCTTTCGGCGGCCCCTCAGCCCACCGACCGAGCTTTCGGCGACCCCTCAGCTCACCGACCGAGCTTTCGGCGGCCCCTCAGCTCACCGTCAACGTGCCCGTGTTTGCCCCTCCACCCAATTTGACAGTGAAGCCATTGTCCCAGGTTCTCCAACATTTCGGCGGCGCTGAGCACGTGCGGCGAGTTGCACGTCAACACCACGCTGCCCTACTTCCAATGCCTCTGCTCGGGCCTGGTGGATAAGTACGTCGTCCGTGCCAAGTACTTCTTCTGCAAGAAAGCCGGCGAGCTTGAAAAGGAGGTGAGTGCCAGACACCGACCGCGATCACTAATGGTACGGCGTAATAGCTCGTTAATGTTACGCCTTACGGTGGATGTCACGTATACCGTAGCTGCGCTCCTTTCACCACGTGATGACCACTGTGTGGCAGACGAGTGAGTTTGCGTTACAAAAGTTATCTTCGTGTGGCTTGTCAGCGAAGACAGTTGTGTGTGTGGGGGGGCAATGAGATTGGCATGAGGCGGCAGTGGTATGAAATGGCATGGAACGTTAGTCTTGTGATAAAACTTATTCATTGAATTGTGATTGTCCCACTGGTGGAATCAGGGCAGGGACGCAGCCAGGATTGTCTGAGGGTAGGGGTGGGGCGTGGGGGTGGGGTGGGAGGCTTGATGAGCACTTATCACGATCTTGGGATTGTTCTGGAGCTATCTTTGATGAAAACAAGAAAATGTGTGTCGGAGAGGGGGCTGCCCCCGCCCGTCTCCCTTGGCTGCGCACCTGGGTCAGGGTCTTTGCGTACGTCATGCTCAGCAAGGACTCCGCTCTCAAAGCTACGGCTTTAAGTGTCGAGTCATTGTTTTGCGGGTAAAATGTCCGATTTGTGGTTGCCCAGCTGTGCACGATATGTCGGTGAGCGACATTTATGGAGTGGTTCTGCGGCGACGCAGATCTTGTTGGCGAGTAAGTTTGCCCCCATGAGCTGCTTTTGGGGGGCTGTTGCACGCTGGTTGATTTGAATGCATGTGAGGAATGACCGAGCCTTGCTCGTCAGGGTGGCGGGCTGACCCAGGATGTGGCCTGTGTCGGTGCTGACGGCACGTGGGGAGCGGCGCAGGCGTCGCGGCGCTACGATCCTCTCTAATGATGCGACTTTTGTATCCAGATTTGACCCCCCTTCCCGCATACACGCATAGTGTACAATATGACGAGGGAAATGATAGAGACGTTTAACTGGAAAACTGCTAATTACTTTTAAAACATATCGCAATAAGGTTGGCCAAATAGCATGAAAACTGGATTTTGAATAGGCATGACCCGGCTGTTAGGCTGTTTTCTAGGCAGGGGATCGCTAGCCTGAATATAAGCACCGCGATTTGCTCGGAAATGTCCGAAAGCTGCACGTGACGGTGTTGGTTGGGGGGGGGGGGAGTGTACGGCGCCGAGACGGCCGGTTACCCCTGTGGCGTGGGGAGCGTCCGCCCTCCAGCCTGACGGCACGCCGTCTGGCGCAGGCCTCGGCCGAGACCACGCGGCAGGTCGGCGCGACTATCGGCATCATCCTGGCCGTCTGCGCGCTGCTGGCCATCCTCATCTTCGTGTACAGGCGGTTCAAGCCCCAGGTGAGCTGGGGGCGAGCTGCGCAGCATGCCACGCCGGACACAGCGAGGGCGGCCCGAAGACCGGCGCAGCAGCACACGCGCTAGCTGCCAGCGTCGGTGTGATGCCCGCGGCCGCCCGACGGCACATGGCTGCCAGCGTTGGTGTGACGCCCGCGGCCGCCTGGTGACATATGGCTGCCAGCGTCGGTGTGACGCCCGCGGCCGCCCGACGGCACATGGATGCCAGCGTTGGTGTGACGCCCGCGGCCGCCCGACGGCACATGGCTGCCAGCGTTGGTGTGACGCCCGCGGCCGCCTGGTGACATATGGCTGCCAGCGTCGGTGTGACGCCCGCGGCCGCCCGACGGCACATGGATGCCCGCGTCGGCGTGACGCCCGCGGCCGCCCGACGGCACATGGCTGCCAGCGTTGGTGTGATGCCCGCGGCCGCCCGACGGCACATGGATGCCCGCGTCGGCGTGACGCCCGCGGCCGCCCGACGGCACATGGCTGCCAGCGTCGGTGTGACGCCCGCGGCCGCCCGACGGCACATGGCTGCCAGCGTCGGTGTGACGCCCGCGGCCGCCCGACGGCACATGGCTGCCAACGTTGGTGTGACGCCCGCGGCCGCCCGACGGCACATGGCTGCCAGCGTTGGTGTGATGCCCGCGGCCGCCCGACGGCACATGGCTGCCAGCGTTGGTGTGATGCCCGCGGCCGCCCGACGGCACATGGCTGCTAGCGTGGGCCCGAGATGTGGGGGACTGCGCGCAGTGCTGTATCAGTTGGTGTGGTTTCGGTGCTCTCGTGTGACGAACGCCCTGTGCCACCATTCTGGATGGAAGTAGTGCGTAAACATTGCTTGCCAACAGCCCGCGGCCACGCACCGACGCACCGACGCCACCGCCGACCACACGGTGGCGGCGGTGGCGTCTGGTCCGGCGCACCACGCGTACTGCGCACCGTCGGTGCGCAGCCACGCACCGACGTGTGATCTGAAGCCATTTTGTTCTCCTTTCAATTTGAGCCCTTTCTCGAACTGTGTAGGTTGCGCCAGGTTACCCCACTGTCCGGAAATTATGACTGATGAACCGTGCGCTTGTTTGCCAATTGCAGATTCTTGCAAAGACTCGGGCGGCATTCTCTCACTGTGGCATGAAGAACCACTACGACTCATGCACCCGGATGTTCTGCGTTTGCTGCCAGAAGCACTCAACCAAAAGACTCGGTAACCACTGACCCGAGGGCTGTAAGACGAACGCGCCTATAACGCGAGTGCTCCGATTCGGGTTCAATCCCCGTATCCAGCTGACCTATGCCGTGCTACGTTTCGGTGGACTTGGCCCAAACTCTGAGGACCTGGAGTCTTCAGACTCGGACACCAGCGACCTATCGACCAGCCACGGACACTACGCACGAGTCTGAGACTGGCCGGAAGCCGAATCTATTTCGGGTTCACGCGCATCTTGGACTCGGACTCACGTGAATCGGTTCATTCTACAGATGTATCGTAGTCAGTTCCGGGCGTCAGTGGAAAAAGTCAGGGACTCGAACCCACGTGAACATTGGCTAGGTTCCAACGTACTCGGGACTTAAAACATTCTACAAACCTGAGACTGTGATCCAGACTTAAACCAAAAGAAATCAGGACTCGACATGGTTCAGCCGAGACAGAACGCGGTCTCCATTAATTATGACATTTCTTTGATCACCTAGGTCGTCAGTCAGACCACGCATCAGTCAGTTGACTGAATTGTGAAACGCCGTCTTATTTTGATAAAAATACTCCTTGAAAGCATAATACGATTGACTTTATTACCATGGTACCTGATACCTACTTCCATGCACCGACACTTTTAGCCACCCAAAACCGCAATGCCCTATTCGCAGCCAGTAATGGCATTACAATTATTGTATCACCTGGAGGCAAAGACGGCGAAGTGCCAACTCAGCTCTATCTTGAGACGATAGGTGCTGTTGAGAGGCCCACCCGCACTCACACGCGGCGAAATAAAGAAACCCGGAATCCGTTTTCGGTTCAAGGTCGTGGGAAAAAGGACTCATTTGCAGCAGACCTGATGGATTCGGACTCGGCCCCGGTGATGTGGGTTGTTTCGACCGAGGACTCAGGCATCCGCACTCTGACAAGACCATGCCCGATGCGTGTCGAAAATTCGGGGAAACCAGCCGTTTGGTCACATTGCTATCGAATTATACGATGTTTGATGATTTCACGTAAGGCTTCATAAAAGCGAAATGAAGCACATTGAAAGCGTAAAAAGTTTTTTTCCTTATCAGCCAACGGAGTACTCGAATCTTACAATCGATCAACGTAGACTTCACCAATGTGTTGGTGCCCAACCTGGAGCTGGCTGCAATCCTGCGCGGCGTCAGACTCTAGCGAGCGGCCGTCCCACGCGGTCGAGTCGCAGCTCGCGCCTCTCGGGGCCTCTCCAGCCGGCCTGTGACGGTGTCGCCCGTTGACAGACGAGCATGGGAACGAACTGCCGTCCAACCAGAACCTGTCCGGCCAGCCCACCAGCCGCTGCGGCAACCTCTGCTACAGCGACGCCTGCCTCAGCGCCATGGAGTTCATCTGCGACTGCGACTGCTTCCGCACGCGCAAGGCGCCCAAGTACATGGTGCCCATCCTCGGGTGAGTCGACGGCGCTGCGGAAATCCCAGCTCGACGGCGCGAGTAGCGATGGACAGTAATCAAAGCTGCCAGAAAGCGGGGCGTGTAACGACGGACGCGCATCAAAGCTGCCAGGTAGCGGGGCGAGTAGCGATGGACACGGATCAAAGCGGCCAGGTAGCGGGGCGAGTAGCGGTGGACACGGATTAAAGCGGCCAGGTAGCGGGGCGAGTAGCGAGGGACACGGATTAAAGCAGCCGGAGAGCGGCAGGACTGTGGTTGTGGGGAACACGGCTGCGATGAAAATACAGGAGATGGCCCTCGGTTTGATGGCGGTTCATGCCGTGTGAGGTCGGTGACTTCTTCCGAGCGTTTCAACTGTGTTACCACCCCTCTGACATGCAGCATGTGGCATTTATGCCATACCGTAGTATGCACATATGTAAATGAACAACAGTTGCGAAGTTACGTGCCGTTGGGTGTGCAGGCGTGCGTGTGTCGTGTGGAACTGTCCCAATCACTTGTTACGAGGTCCGCGACCACAGCCGCCCCGGTCTTACTCATCTGATGGCATTACAGGAAGCCTCGGTCGCGGTCGGGTCAGCCCTCCAGCGAGCCGTCGGAGGAGCCCGTGGTGGAGCTGCAGCCGCCGCGGCGCATGCGCTCCGTGCGCAAGGCACCGCCGCCGCCGATGCCGAAGATGCCCGACGCGCCCGGCTTCGACCCGGACCAGAGGGCAGCCGGCACGTGGCGCCCGCCGGGTCCCCCGTACCAGCGGCCGACCGCGCCGCCGCCGCCCGGTCCGGCGCACCACGCGTACGGTGAGCCGCACGGACCTTCATCGTCGGCCATGTTCCAGCCGCCGCAGTACGACGACCTGTTCCAGGCTGGGCCGTCCGATCCGTCGCTGAACAGGGGAGGCCCCTTGCGCGTCTCCAAGGAGTTCACCGCCCAGCTGAACCAGGCCATGGCCGGCCGGCGCTGGCCCTCCGAGAGCGAGATATAGAGGAGCCTCAGCGGCGCTCCCAGTCCGGGCCCCGTGTCACACGAGCTTCCAAACCGGCCGGTCGGTCGGCCGCCGTCACGACGCCAGCAGAGCCCACAGAGCCGGTCCAGTGCGTTGACCGTAATGCCCGCCTCCACGGCCACACGCACCCGAGAGTCGTCAGCTTCGCGGACCAGGCGTCAGGCGATGGCACCGCCCGGAGGCGCTCGGCCTGTGCGCGGTGGCGGGGTCAGGGCAGTGACCTGATGGGCAAAGAATCTCCTTGAGGCACGGTGGTCTCGTGACGTCCGCCGTGCCCGGCGGCCCCCGTGCGTCGGAGGGGAGAACATGGAGCGGGACGGAGGGGCGCGCTGCCGTCCTCGTGCGCGGCAGCGGCGGCAGCGGAGTAACGGCAGCAGGTCGCCGCGGGGCGCCTCTGTGTGCCGTGTCGTCACTGAATGGTCGAGGATGTAGTGGACGGGGGGCAGCTCCCTGTTAAAAAGAGTGGCCATCAGTGGAAAGGAATCTCTCCAATTCCACCCACCACTGCCGAAGGCTACATGTAGCACGCTTTTTATATCAGCATGTACCGGTGTGCGTTGCTCTGAACTCATGATTCGCCAACAAGGCTGATTGATGTGCGTTCTGGGAGGGGGCGAGGGAGGAGATGGCAAAATCTGACCGACCGCCCTGTTTACGCAAAATGTACCGCAAACTAAACTTTACTAGTAAACGACTTTTTGTGCATTTCCAACAAGGGAACGAGGCGTCAAGCAAACCGTAAAGCATTCGGCCAGCAACTGTTTTCAGATATAGCTTGGCAAGTCATCCCACGCCTCCCCCGCGCGGGCACCCACCGGCCATCGGACCACAGCGCCGAGCAAGCCCTCGCGGCACGACACAGCACAGCTGCCGTCGAACGGAGGTTCACGGCCGTCCAGAGATGCGTCTTCCCGACGAAGCTCTAGAAAGAGGCTGTGTTGCCGCCCGGACCTGTCGCTGGCGCCCGGTTCGGATTCGGCCGCGCCATGTGGTTATCGTCGGCCAGAAGCGGGCGCCTTCGTTTGCCGGCCGGTCCGGGGGGGGGGGGGGGGGGGGGGGCGTCATCGCAGCCATCGCCGGGGACGTTCCACGCGTCTGCGACTTCAGAGTTGTGACCGGATCGTCGTTGAATGTCCGCGTGCCCTCCTTGTTCGTGTCAAGTGCAGCATTTACGTTATAATGATGCGGCATTACTCATGTTTCATACGCTACGCCGCCAACGGACAATTTTTGCCGTCTAAACCTGTTGATGTCTAATACTGTGCCTTTTCGGGTGCGCTTCCCCACCGTCATATTTCGGCGCGCGGCCTTGTTTGACCTTGAGCTTATGTACCTTTGGTTAATGCGACTCAGCATTTAAGAAATTATCCCAGCATTGTCTCTGAAAATTGCCCGGCACCAGCGTTATTGTGGAGCAGTGATAGCATTACCCCCTCCCCCTCCCCTCCCGCTCCATTCATGGTGTGCCATTCTGGCGGGTCCTCCAGGTCGTCTGTTAACGGAATGGGGGCACAAAACATAATCCTGATTGCATACTACAGCGCACAGGCCACCCTCCTGGAAAAAAACGGGACGAAACAGAACCGAAAGAGAAACAGAGGGAAAACGTAACACAACGTCTTATATGCATATGGCTCCAAAATCGCTTCCTATAGGCCGATCCGTCCCGTCGGCGTGTGCAAGGCTGTGTATCGCCATCCTGCAGCCGGTGACCGTGCGTAGCTCAGTGCCGTATCGTGCTATGTATCGGGAGCGGGTCCGCTGTGGACCGACTGCGGCCCGGTTCCGAAGGACGGTCACGCGAGTATTAGCTTGTTTTGCAGATTGCGTTTTGTATGAATAGCTACACAGCCAACTTGCCCAGCGGGTCCGGTTTTACCACTTGGCTGAACCATGAAAGTGTGATTTTATGTCGTCGGGGTAAGATGTTCGTATGACACTGCTGTGCAAGAGCCTTCCAACGACTAACGTTTGAATAAATGATGAGGCGCCGCGCGAAAGCCTGTCACTCACCGCTCAGCGGCATACTGGTGACGTTATCGACCGTCGGCGAACATCTCAGGCTTTCAGTAGAAAGTAGGTAGGTGGCACGTAATCCGCCGGTGCCCGGCCTTCGGCGTAGACGACTGAATGGTGCGTGCGCGTGTGAGTGTGCGTGAGTTACATGACTGACGGCACTGGAGTCGGCACTACTGACTAGGGGTGCAGGCAGAGCCGTGATAGGGGGGGGGGGAGGGGGACAGAGCTGACAAGGGGCCCCTGATCGTGAAAGGCCTCTCCCTTCCCCATTAAAAAATCAATGGAAAAGCCACTTAGGTTCGAGGGGGAAGGCTTTATTTCACTTCTTACTGGAACAGAAGCCACAACTGCCGGACAATAGCGATGTATTTTGAAGTCCATAAACTAAAGGAAACCGGTTAAATTTACAATGGTTCAATGGACTCTTTAAACCGATAGAACTAAGAAGCTGTGCCAGAGTTTTGTGAGGGTTCTACACCGACATTGTACTCTGCAAGCGTTTTTAGCGATTTTTTGGTGAGCGATTTTTAGACTGATGTTCAGGACGGAATAGCGTTCACCGTACCGCAAACTGGTGCGAGAATCTGGTGGTGGAACTGATATGAGCAATGGTAGAAGCCCTATTTTTCGTGCCGGGTAAGCAGTCATGTTCTGTTCTGTTCTGTTCTGTTCAGTTCAGAGGACATCCTCGAAATCACAAAGGAGAAATATACACGTCAGCCTAGTTTTGAATTACACAAAGTTATTTCAGGACTTTCGGAGGCGTTTTTCACGGTGGTTGTCCTTGTGCACCCGGCGCCCGCCGATTGGTATCGTCTGCAGCGACCTACGCCATTTGGTTTTACGGAAACTGCAACTCCAGCCCTCGCCGTTCTTGCTCAAACTTGTCATGTAATTTATTCACCAGTCGATTCTGCAAAAGGATGGACGTTCTATGGCAAACACGGTTGCCCTTTTTCATTACTGCATTCTCGACTTCATTTCGATCCATGCCAATGAACGCTGAGACTCAACGCCTTTTTCCGCGCAAGGAGCTCCGTAGATGGAATACCTTGGGGTACATTATCGTTCTCGGCCAAAAGCCGAAGGGGTATTCCGCCCCAGCGCGAGGTGCCTACCAGCTGTCACTCTTTTTTCCACTGTGGTAAACGTCATAAGGAAGAAATCAGAGTCATAGCAAAATGCTTTGCTGAATTCGCGGAATAATGGCTTCATGCCCGCACATCCTTTTGTCTTAACAGTGTTCCAAGCTATCGTAGCATCTATTGCACGAACGTTTTGACACATTAGTGTGTTGCAAGCATTACAGAACACACACGCTGGAGAAAGCAGGGCAAATAAAATGTATCACTTTCATAGTGGTGAGCACGGAGTCAAATGAGATTTCTCCCGCGGGGTGGGGTTCTTCAAATCTAAATTATGAGCTATTCAGAGGGATCTCGAGAAGACTGGTATTACCGATCAAATCGTACGCGCCTGATGTAGTAATAAGTGAAAAGCAAAAAAGTGGGACGCCCCCTTTAACGGGGGTTTGGCTTTAATGGGGAGCCCCCCTCCCCCCCTCCCACCTGTTCGGTACATCGACTGGGGCATTATTGACTGACAAATGGTTCTTTCGTTGTTCCATTGTGGACTCGCATCATAAATCCTCATCTTACCTTTTATCGTCAGAGGGCCGACCAACCCAAGAGGCCCTCCGGTAATCGGGGTCCCGTTCCTGCCCTGTTTAGTAAATGTTCCCTGACCGAATCAGGACCCCCTACCGACACAGGACTCCTGTTAGGCTCCCTGACTGACACAGGACCGTCATTGCTGCAGTGGCCCTGACCAATGCAAATCGCGGGCGCCGGCCTTAGTCCTGCTCAGCAAATGGGCCCACAGGGCTCAGACGGACACGAAGCCGATTGTTCGGTACTTGTGCTCTCTGCCCGAAATAGGGGCCGGTATTGTCCCAGGGTCTCCGATCAGAGTGAGAGGTCCTCTGACTGTCATTTCAGGTCACGACCCTACGGGCGCGGTCCTTAATGCGACCTGCAGTCAGCCCTCCAGGACCCTCGAGCCCTTCAGAACACTCGGGCCCTTCAGAACACTCGGGCCGTTCAGCATTTCAATCGGGCCCTTGGTCGTCGGTCCCGAAGGCCCCTTGGGGCCCTCTTTGGCCCTCTCGAGCACTGCCTCTGGTCGGCTTCAGACACTCTTAGCTTACTCGGCCAGTTATAGAACTCTCTGTTAAGCATTGTGGTCTCCTAGCAGACACAGGGGTTTCTCATCAACTCAGGAGTCCCGATCAATGACTCGCGGGCCCCAGTTTTATCCCTGCTTGTGAAAGGAACAATCCAGTTGGGATCAACACGTCACCGAGTGTTTGGTACAGTTCGTACCTGACCAACATAGAGGCGCTCATCGACTCAGGGGCCTCGACTGGCGCGGAGTGCTCTCTAACTGGCATTTGAGGTACCGACCGCACGGCTGGGACCTCGCATACGGCCTCTTTGGGTCGCCACATTACTGCCGCCTACCACGGGCTGCTGCAGCCCGAGATCACTACCGGAGCTGATGCTACCGGGAGATGTTCTACCCGCTGTCGCATCTGTCTGGCTTGCAGCGGCACGAGAGCAAGCCAAGTCGTGGTAAAACCGGCTTCAGGCGTATTTTCACGACATATTGTCAACTACGGCATGTTTTCGAGCGTCTGTGGAGCTTACTCTAGTCCGTCGTTCCTCGGCATTAAATTCAACAACGACATGATTTATATTTGCTGTAATGCAGGTCGCTTAGGGTTTCGGGACCTGGGAAACCGAACTGGCAAACAACATAACCTGACCACCACGGTCTAATTTGGGACGGACGGTACCAATGTTGAGAAGGGGAGCGTTTTCCGACAATCTTCCAGTTTTTAAGACTCCTACGGCTACTCGCGGTCTCGTTTTCAGGTGTCCACGCGCACTTCTGAAGCCACA